TTGCATAATTCTTGGCATTGGGCGGATGTTTGCCGAAGTCTGGATTCGGTGGAGCGCGGCCAGTATCTCCGGGAGAAACCCGGGGCCTCATTGCTGGGCAACAATACCCCTTTTGCAACAACAAAGACAAGAGAGAAAGATTAGGCGAGTGGAAGAAAGGAGAGTTATGCAGTCCAAGACACTGTCGAGACGCAGAATTGATCGACAGAAAAGGTGGTCGACGTAACCAAGGAAAATTGGGACCAAAAAGACATCAGGGAATCCGAAAAAGACAAAAAAGTTTGGGACGTTCATATCTGCCTCGAGGTACAGCTATAGGCTGCCCGGGCCTGGGAATGGCGGCTGCATTTTCTTTTCCTTTGTGTGGATAGACAGAATACGGGGACTCATCAAGAGCTGAGATGTCTCCTTTCGGCGTTACACTTTTGACACTCGTGGAAGGAACGGGGGCTTCACCAGAACTGGCATTCAGTCAAGGACAGATATTTCCTTTCTCCTGCGTTGTACAATAGCTACAGTAGGGTGGTGGGCAGCCGAATAGCAAGAGCAAAAGACTCTTCTCCGCAGATATCACTGGCTTCATGTGATGATTGGCGTGTCTTGTTACAGTGGTGTTTTACAGATTATACTTATACAAATGCACTCTTGCAAAGGAGGCTCTTTATGCTATGTCCGGTCCCCAGGCCCCGTGGTTTGGAGCTTGCCGGAGCATTTCCCACTTCGATCCCTCCCTCCCCCAGACGCCGTTTCGCATGTCGACGTTTCGTCTCATGGCTCGACGTCTCCCATTGTCTGATAGACATCGTCTGTAGTCGTACATCATCTCCCTACTGCCGCTAAACCCGCTCATCCTGGGCTTGGCATCTTGGGTCGTGTCAGCTCGAGGCGCGGCCAAGACCAGGCACAAATCCAAGGAGAAACGGAATCCCAAGCAGGCCAAGCATCGTCCACAAGACCGCGCCCAGCTCTTGCTCGTCCATGCTTTTCTTTCGGCCTCTCTTCGTCCTCATCAACTATAGCTTCCCCTCATGAATCTCCTCCCCAGCGGTTCCTCGCCTTCCTCTCGGCCTCGTCCTTCTTCCGGTCCCCGCTGGCGTAGACCCACGCGCCGGCGGCCGAGTTCGCGAAGCCCATGCCGATGGCGACGCCGCGCACGGCGCCGCGGGCGGTGAACTTTGCGCGCAGCGGCTGGCGGCGGCGCAGGGCGAGGAGCGCGTAGAGGCCGGAGAGGGCGCAGGTGAAGCCGGCGCTGTCGGTGGGGAAGCCGGCGAGGTTGACGTAGCTGCTGAAGAGCAGGGCGGGTGCGAAGGAGAAGGGGAGCAGCTTGAGGGGGCGGCCGTGCAGCGCGGCGATGAGGATGGCGTGGATTGCGGGCGGGAGGGGGTTTGCTGTGGTGTTGGTGTTAGTTGAAAAGTGGTGCGGGAGGAGGGGAGGGAGGGGTGGTTGCGTACTGCCGTACTCGTGGACGTTTTGCAGGAGGGTGTTCTTGGCCTGTTCGGCTGCTGGTGTGCTGCTTTCGGAGGCCATTGTTGTGGTTTCTGCGGAGGGCTGGGCTCCGTTCCGACGAGGCAATTGGAGGTGAAGAAAGTGAGTGTCGATGATGATGATGATGGTGGTGGTGATGCTAGATCCCAATCAATTCGTAGAGCTCCCAGTTGCTCCCCACACCCAAAAAAGTGACGTGGGTTATCGATAAGAGATGGTCCCTGCGCACGGTTGACTAAGCTTGAGCCGCACCCAATCAGCTGGGCCGTGGTTTCTTTCAACTTCGACGTTGCGAGTGGCCTGGACTGCGACTGACTGGGGGCCTGTTGCAGAGTGTCTTGTTCCTTTCTCCTGTAGGACGGTCCACGTTTTTTTTTTTGCTCCCGCGAGACAACGGTCGACACAATCCTCCTCGACGAAATCCTAGATACCTTTTCCCTAGGAAGCCGCTCCTAATTCACGACACGAAGCACCGATCACGCGGGCTTTTGCGTGCATTTTCATATTCGGAAACCTGGCCGTAGCTGATGCGGGGAATCGTTCCGGAGCTCCCACGCAGCCTTGTCCAACGCCAAAATCGCCCATCTTGCCAGATAGGCCGCAAAAACCACCAATCATCATCGCATCAGCCGACGACACTGCGCGCGCAGCACCCCCCCCTCGACGACGTCACATACAACCCTCGCGACGATCGCACGGAAGTAGCTCGACGACGCTGTTTGTTTTCGTTCACTCGCAATCGGACCTGAATAATCGGTGAAGCATCAACCCAGCAACAGCACCACCACCACCCGCAAAAACAAAACCACAACACCCACCGCACACGGCCACGATGCCGAGCGCAACAGCCTCGGGGGCCGACACGGGCGGCAACGCCGCCCGCAACCGCGAGCACAACCAGGGCAACCAGGGCCGCAGCTACACAGTGGAGCAGAAGGCGGCGGTGCTGCGGATCCGCAAGTGCTCGCCGACGGCCTTCTACGACATCCTCGGGCTCGAGGACGTCAAGACGACGTGCTCGGACGGCGAGATCAAGAAGGCGTACCGCAAGCAGAGCCTGCTCACGCACCCGGACAAGAACGGTCACGAGCACGCCGACGAGGCCTTCAAGATGGTCAGCCGCGCCTTCAGCGTGCTGGGCGACAAGGAGAAGAGGGAGAAGTTCGACCGCTTCGGGACCGATCCGGACTCGCGCTTCGGGCAGGCGCAGGCGCAGAACCCGTTTAGCGGGTTCGCGCAGCGGCAGAGGGGCGGCGGGGGAGGCGGAGGAGGTGGTGGTGGGTTCGGCGGCGGGATGGAGGAGATGACGCCTGAGGAGATGTTTCAACGGTTCTTTGGGGGTGGGTTTGGAGGCGGGCCGTTTGGTGGAGGTGAGAATTCTCAGTGTGCGGGTTCCAGAGACAATGGCTAATTGACAAAACGCAGGTTTCGACACGGGGCCGCAGTTCGTCTTCAACTTTGGCGGCGGGCCAGGGTTCCGGGTGCATCAGTTCGGCGGCGCGCGGCCGCGGAGGAGACCGCGCGAGGCGACGGAGCAGGAGGGCGGCGGCATGTCGACGCTCATGGGCCTGCTGCCGATCTTGCTGCTCTTCGTGTTCCCGCTCATCTCGTCGCTCTTCAGCGGGGGATCGACGCCGTCGACGCCCAACATCGTGTACGACAACCCCAAGGGCGCGTACACGCTGCAGCGCAAGACGCCCAACCTGGGCGCGAGCTACTTCGTCAACCCGGCCGAGGTGGAGTCGTACACCAAGGGCAAGCTGGAGAAGCTGGACCGCACGGCGGAGATTTCCCTGGTGCGCACGCTGCGGTACGAGTGCGAGAACGAGATGATGGCGAAGCGGCGCATGTACGACGCCGCGAGCGGCTGGTTCTTCCAGGACCCGGACAAGATGCGCAAGGCGGACGAGTACGAGATGCCGTCGTGTAAGAGGCTGGACAAGTACGGCGTCGGAAGGGGTTGATTGGATCCGGAGATGAGGATGAGGATGAGAGACTACTAGAACTGTGAAATGAAATGTTGCCGCTCTGGGTTGGGGGGCCTGTTCCTTTTCCATTGGCGTTCTCGGGGCGAGGGGGTTCAATAGCATTTTACGTTGGATGCGACGGGCATTATTGACGAGGAAGTATTTCCTTTTTTTCTTGTTTTATTCTTATAACAGCTTTTATTTTCCCGCTCTCCCCCTGGAAACCAACAAACAAGCCCCCGTCTGCTGTTATGATAGAGTAGAAGTTGGAGAGGGAATAATATGAGGTAAGGAGTAAACCTTTTGATGCTGTTACGTATCTGATAATGTACGAGATGTCTTCTTAGTTGAGCTGATAGTTACGGCGCAGTCTTTGCGCAATGTTCCGTTCGTCGAGGACATTGACTTGCTTCCTCCGCAAGGTTCGCTCCCGAGAACCCCCCCGGATTGGTTGACGTGCGGTGGCGTACATGCAAGTACGCCCTCCGGAACCCGTCCTCTTCGATTTGGGGTCCCGATATAAGACCGTTGGACCATAATGCGGGAAACATCAGAAGGGCACTCTGATTTATAGCCTCTACTAGTTGAGGAACATAGTAAAGAAATTCTTCACTTTCCTACTAGCAAGCAAACTCTGAACATCACAGAGTCGAATCCGTGCCTTGGCCGAATTGATCAGCGGAAGAACAACAGCGTCAGCCGCGCAGCACGTGGCCGAACGGCGTGGCACCGCACGTACCCTGCTTGTCGCTAGGCTGGTGTCGTTGAGGTTGTGTCAGGAGTTTGAAGATGGCAACTACCGACACGTTGGGTGCCTTTCAGATAAGGCTTGATGTTTGTTGTTGATGTACCTGGAGTGGTTCTGAACCGCCACACTGACTTGCTGGACCGAAGCGCCACACTCAGTCATAGCCTGAACTCCTCTTAACAACACTTGCCTCAAGGTCCTTTTAATGGTCTCAGGAAACCTGAGCCGCAAATGGCGTATCACTTGAAATTTTCTTTCATATTCATTCCATTCCTCCGCATATTCTATCGGACTCTTGAGAATTTTTCAACAGTCACGCGTCAACCAATCGTCCGGGTAATGATCATTTCATCGCTGGCATTTCAGACCTTTTGTGATAAAAAGCAGCAGGACGCTTCTGGAAATAAAACTTGCCTTTGGAATAGAGAAACAACTTTCTCTTACGTATTCAAGCGAACAAGCTTGACAAACGACACGCGTGTAATACAATCTCGATCTATTTGTGAAACCCCTTTACTTGAATCATTCCATACTTTCTAGAATAGAATAGTTCCAGAATTGAGAGTTTGGATAGTGAATGATCATCTGTTGCTCAACTAAGGAACCCTTGCACACTGAGTTCCGAGGCCATTCTTACCAACAATCCAGGTGTTAGGGTATGGACCCCGCCGCTACGTATATAGATCGAAGCAAACTTAGCAGACATGCCGTAATGGCTTCTCCTTTCACATCTCCGAAACACGTAAAGAAGATTCTCCATTCATTTCAAAGACCAACTAAGACGTCCAAAAGAAGCAGCCATGTGTTGCCCCAACTGCGCCGAAAGCCCGACAAACCCGCGACAAACTCCAGGATTGGAATTTAACCCAAAAATAATCTCCTTGTCATGCGATTCTACGCTTACAAGAGCTGTCTCAGATAAAATCAAATCGACCTTGACCACGCTCCCGACTGAGATACTGGCGTTGATCGTTAGCCACCTCATTCCAAAATGGATCACCTTTCCCGACCTAACCTCCGACATCAAAGCTCGATACGCGCTACGAAAGGGCGGCGATGAAACAGAAACATACTGGTCAGTTGCTCGATACGTCGGGTACTCCAACCCTTTGGAGACATTCTGCGCGGCCCATGTTGTTCCAAAATGGCTCTCCTTCAACGTTGACAACGACCTGCTCAACTTTGCGAGGACGAGCTCCAGATTATCAGAGATCTGTTATAGAGAAATCTACCGCAACGTGGTTCTTCTAGACGCTCCATACGAAAGAATATGGAACGCCTTGGATACCCTTGCCGGGAATGGAGAGGTCCTGCAGCCGCTGGTCAAAAGGCTTTCTGTAAGATACACCTGCCGTCCAGAAGGAAAGCAAATCCATGATACCTTTGGGTGGAAATGGGGAATCAGGAATGTACTCTATGATGAGCTCCGGGGGTTGAGCAATTTACGCCGTCTCGAGATTGACATCTGCCACGACTCAAGCCAGCGCTGGGAATGGTATCAACTGCTGCCAAAGCTACCGGCGCTAACCCACCTGTTTCTCAGAGGCTTTCAGTACATGGAATGCGAGCTTCCTTACCTACCGCAGGTCAAGGAGGCTCATTTTAACGAATGTTCGGTGCTGGGACACTCCGCCAACAATGGCAATTCAATCAGGAGAGTCTTCCAGAAATTCCCCTCTCTGCATACCCTCTTCATCATGAACAGCAAGAATGTCTGGGGCCACATCCCGGAAGACGTCTTCGAGCCCTTTGCAGACACTCTCCACACGCTCGTGTGGACAGGTACTGGGCGCGAGCTCATCTGTCAGAACGCCCTTCGCCGTCTGAAGAGCCTAAAACACCTCAAGTCAAATGCGTACAACAGTCTAGTCGCAGGGGAGATTGCTTGCTCGGAGCTATCCAACCTTTTCTGTACCCTAGAAACTGTGGAATACGTGTATCCGGCAGAAGGGATATGGGATGAAGAAGCGGACGAGCCGCAACAAAATTTGGGTGATTGGAAACGCATGCTTCGGAGGTTGGCGGAGAGCTGTGAACTGAACTACACCAGCGTTCGGGTGGTGGATGTCAGTTCTATCGAGTACATTCCGTCGCCGGGGACGTACAAATGTGAGGCGCCACCCGTGTTTGACGCTGCTAAAAAGCGCTTTGAAGAAATTGGGGTCACTTGTATTCTTCCTGAGTATCCCCGACAGGATCCTGGACCGGAGCCTGAGCAGGAACCTGAGCAGGAACATCAACAGGAATGTCAACAGGAATCTCAGCATGAAACTCAACAGGGGCCTCGTCAGGAGCCTGAACAGGAACCACTTTATCTGATTATGAACTCATACCAACCTCCAGCACGATAGAAGAGGGGCCTGAGGACATAGGTAACGACGCTTATCTAACGGATGAGGAATGCATGTCAGAATTTGATGACCTCAGCTCCAACAGGGGCTCAGAGTTCGAGGTCAGCGAGGATGAATGTGATTGTGACTGTAAGCATTCCACGTCATGTGGTGGAATTTCTTTATAGAGTGGACGCGCGAAGAAAAACCCTCTCTCAAACCCGTGTAAGGGTGTAGTTTACTTCAATTCCTACCATTTATATTCAAGATCTTCAACAGCTATCATTGTTTAATAAAATAGACATGCGCTGAGTTACTCAAAGAAAAGCAATGCAATCAGCCGGACCATGCTAAAAAAATGTAACAGGGCTATCCCAATCCCGCAAGGCAGTAAAGCCATGCCTGTGAATCCGTACATGATAACGCTTCCGTATCCTTCACACCAGTCTGAAGGTCTACCGCAGAATGACTCATCCTAATAAGTTCACAAGTGACTGGTAGTAACCTGACTGTCCCGAGACCATAAAGGTCTAGTTTCATAAAGCTTCCTCTCCCTCATGTTTGTGAACGTTAAAACGACTGACCTTGTGAGTCGTCTTGGAGAACATGACCCGTAAATTTGATAGTAGCCAGAAATTTGACCCTCATTTACCATCTGCAAAGACTTTCTGCTTGATACACCGAGGACCATCACACTACACACAGATCATCATCAACTTTCCTTATTTTGGAAACCCCCAAAATGAACGTCCGCAGCGACTCATCGGAAACTACGGGGAAAGTTCTCGAATCCACTACTAAAAAGGCGGCCGGCGTCTCTAAGGAGACAGGGCATGCGAATGAGACTACAGAGTGCCAGACGCACAGAACAAGTACCACGACATTCACAGGATGGAGTGAACTGCCATCAGAACTCCGTCTGGCGGTTCTAGACTAGGTGGCTAGAACCGATGCCAAGAGAAGAAGGTTCCCCCAGCTTTCCAGGATCTGCAAAGAATGGCAGGTATTTTTTGAAGGCTTCCTTTACAACTCGTTCAATCTCCTTCGAGAAGAGGAAGGCCTACTTCTGTAACATTATGCACGGCCGCCGATGTGGACTCGTTAAAAGGATCCATCTCCACGTGGAGTTGGAAGAGTACCTGTCTGAGGACTACGGCGTGGCAGAAGACGAGACGACGATTCATTTCAACAACCAGGCATTTACCAGGAATTTGCTGAGCCTCCTCAAGACCCTCTCGGAATGGCAGGGATGTCGCGGTCTATCGCTTGAGTTGAGCGCAAGTTCCCCAAGCGATACCCTACACGCCTGGTCAAATTTCAGACTCAAGAACTTGGGCATAAATGATTTGGACGGTTTGGAGGGTACGAAACCTCGAAGAAGAGACCGGATCGAACAGCTCAGCCAACGGAACCATGGCCTTGTGCAGATGCGTACGACGGTTAGAAATCTCCTCGACTTTGGTCTTTCCGACAAAGACGAACCGCAGAGGCTGCAGTCTCTAGACAGGCGCAGCCTGGATCATGGTCGTGAGCATACGCAACGGACCTTTGGAAATCTCCTCGACTTCGTCCTTCCCGACAATGACGACCTGCAGTTTCCAAGCAGCGCAAAGATCCCGGCTGTCTTGCAGTTTGTCATCAGCCTGCAACACCACAGAACCCCATCTCCACAAGCTCTCGAATACATAATTGGAATGTTACCAAATGTCGAGGAGCTTGTTTACGAGCCTTGGCGTGGGATGGACCAACGACATAATGAGTTGCTTGGTCTGGCATATTGGACGCTTCTAACCGAGATGCCAAAGGAAGTTAAGAGGGTATCTCTTTGGGAAGAGGGCCATCCTTGGATGCACACCGGAGACGATACGCCAGATATTTTTGACCTAGCAACGGTAGCGGCCAAGGCAAGCCGTCAGCTGGAAACGCTCTACGCAACGTGTGTGTTTGATGCTCTGGATTTCTTTTTGTCGGCAGGGCCTCAGCCTTGGCCAGAGCTAAATGTTGCCAGAGCTAAAACATTTAGCTCTTACAACGCCCAGGCTTGAATCTTCAGTGAAGCATACACGCGCCAACAAACTGCTGCATCTTGCGGCACGAGCGGCAAGCAGGATGCCCAAGCTGGAGCTCATGGAGCTGTGGCACTGCGAGGAGAATAAACACCAATTTTTCTTCCGATATGGACGGAGAGGAAATACTGCAAAGATGACAATTGAATCATCCTGGGAGTTTCGAATGGACAAGGAAACGAACACAAAATGGACGGAAACCACAAGAAATTTGGGGATCCACCTGAGTCCAACCATACTTCATACAGACCTGGTTGTCCCGAGCAGAACTCCTTTAGAAAACAAGGAAAGGCTGCGTGGCAGATTATGTTGGCCCTATGAGGGAAATGAAAAAGAAAGAAAGCAGTGGACGAGGGATCATGCCTTGACACAGGAGGAGTGGTATCACAGTTATGACGTACCCTTTTATGATCTGTATTATGTCTGAGATCGGAGCAAAATATGACCCCTGCCATGCAGGTGACACTGCAGGTATGAATGGGATCACTTCTAAAAATGCGAGATTGGACTTACATGTACAAATTAGTAGCAAAGTACAGATCAAGGCTCATCAGTTCGTCAGCTGAGGGAGCAAACTTGGGCTGAACGAGGATGAATATCTCACTAGTTTCAAGTGGCAGTTGATGGAGACTGTGATGACAAAGAGCACGACAGCGTGAACGGCAACGGGGACAATGAAGACGACGGAACAAGGGATAACATGCATAGATGCTACCTGACTTCAACAGAAGTTCGTATAATCAGGTCATCTATTAAACTAAAGCAACGTGTCCCTTCTTGTCACTCAGGTTCCCGATGCCGTGACTGATGGTTGACATTTTTTCACAAAATAGATGCCGTTATAATTATGAATGCAAGCCGTATTATAGCTTTCAGGTACCGGAGAATAGCAAGATCAAGAACGATGGTATTGCCGATCACGTCGTGAAGTAAGTGGAATGCAGCGGCTTCGCTTGAGACAGAAACTACATCACCTGGCAAAAGGATCTACCCTAAATATTCAATATTTGAGGAACATGACAATGAAGACACATAGTATCATGGGATCAGGAAGTGGCGTGTACGATGTTATGCACAGAAACACTTTGGTGAAAGGTTGATTGGGTAGGATCAGGTGTCGAAGGTCTACTGGAATTCCTGCCAACGACCTCACTCTCACCAACTTACGATGAATCCAATCCAGTGCAGCACTTGTAGAAGATGCAGAAGCTTCTATGGAGGCATTGGCAGAAGTGATGGCAAAAATGTTGAGCATCAAAAGAGTCAATTCATACTATTACGCCTATCTATTGCGACGAGATAGGAAACTTCAACACCGCTTTCATCACTCACTCATGTTAACCAGTTAATGAGGAAGAGGGAACAGGCAGCCTATAGCGAAAGCTGCTACCCAGCGTCGGTTTATCTTCGCCGCGAAGAAGAAGTTTACTGCCGTTCTCGAGGAAGTTATCTTCGATGAAGTACCTGAAGAGTTGCATCGCGCGGCGGATGCTCGGATGGCTACCAAGAAGGTCAGCATAAATGCGTCTCAAATCAACAATCCGCATCGTTGTGTATATCTGCGCGCACTGGGTTGCAAGCTGCACAAGAAGAGACCGCAATCTGGTGTAGGAACCTTGATCCAACGGACCATAATGCCACATTGAGGCGGGACCGCGCACTAGCTCCAATGTTTCCAGAGTATCCGAGAAATTGACAAAATTGCCTTGGAGAAAGGCCTCCAAGTCCATGATCTTCAGATGTTTCAGTTTTGTGAATCGGCGCAGACCTTTGTTGCAATCAGCCATATTCTTCGACGGCACAAGCCAAGCACAGGTCTCCAGCTTATTCGAAATCTCGCCGAGGGCGTTTTCAGAAAGATGTCGAAGGCTGCGAAAGTTGACTAGCGTACGAATGTTTGGAAGGCAGGCGATAATTCGCCGACATTCCGGTTTGGTTGAAACCGTGCAATTATAGAACCATGCCTCATCCACCTGCGGCAGCCGAGGCAAGAGCTTTGATAGCTGTTTGCGGAAGCCTCTCATGGACAGTCTACGCAAGGCAGGAAAGTGCGGAAGTAGAGCACACCATTGAGAAAGATAGACTGTCCCATCGGATGGGTGGTTCTCAATGTCTAGAGCACTCAAGTTGGTGAGATTGATCAAGTTTGGTCGCAAATACTTCTTGATCATGTCCGCGCCTCTATATCCAGGGCCAGAGTTCCCGGATCTTAACCACGACACAGCCAAATCGGTGACTGAGTTTTGGAGTTCGGGTCTTCTGTATGTGATGGTGTGAAGGAATCTTGGGAGACCTTCCTTTCCGTTGCCAACCAAATTCGGCTGACGATAGACGAATTCCGCGCAGACTTCCTGCAGCCGTGAGTGGCACCTCCCCAAGTTGAGTAAATCCGAGACTTGGAACGAAGACACCAACAACTCACCAGGATATCTGGTGTCTAGAGACGGTGTCAATTCCCAAACTTTTCCGGTCTATTCACTTCGTTCTTCGTCACCCCCCTTGGCAAGGTATTGCCCAACCAGACACTTTTCTTGTTGTTGTTGTTGTTGTATTTAACGCCGTGGCGGCAAGGGCGCAGCCGCCCTTGCGGCCGACCTCCCGAGGGGTATATGGCGTGGAGGGCCGCAGGCTCAAGCTATATACTCTACAGTACACGCCTCTTCCTAACGTCCTCCAAATCTTGCCCATAGGCTACTATGTGTTCTATCCGTCCCTAGTTCCCGCTGGTTCCCTGGTTCCGTTATACTCGTCAGTTCCTCTACGAGGGGGGGGGGTTCGTTACTAAGGCCTAGGTTCAGACCTAGGCCCTAGTACCGCGGGCAGATCTTCCGGAAGAAATCTGTCACGCAGAGAAAGGCCTGGAAGCCTTCCTGATCAGTGATTAGCCCCTTGTAGTATCGATCCAGAGATCCTATTGGTCCTATAGGCTCCTGTGGACTAGAGGGGTGGAGGGTG